GTCTCGCGCCATGTCCCCGTTGTGCAATCCGTGAGATCGAGTTTTTCCCAGGGATCACCTAAGTTTTCCAGCTCTCGTTGCCAAGGGCAGTTGTCTGGTACAAGAGTTGCTAAACTTCACATAAACTGGCACTTATAAATCAGTGTTCAGACCGAAATCGCGCTAAAGTGCCCTCAAGATTTGAGAAGAAGTCAAGGTCATGGCGCATCCCACGATCGCCCTATGATTATAGACATACTTCAGTGTCTGGGCAAGTCATAATCGCAAATCCTGGCATACACATGGCGACGGCCTGGAAAAAATCGATATTGCATAGTTTGACCTGTCAGATCTTGCTCTTTGTTCCCTGCGATGCTCTTCGATGCCGCGTTTGGAGGTAAGTCTGCAATTACGACAGGCACCGCCACGGGAAACAAGGTTTACATTGAATTATTATGTCCAATACTCTTTTACATATACTTACTTAGAATACTTAGACGACCCGTCCATCAGCACGGCGGTTGGCCTTGCGCGGGTCCCAACTTCTTTTCCATTGTTCTCGATCTTGGGCTATGGTTGTCCAGTGTGTGGTCACCCTAAAGGACTCTGGATCATAGATGTTGTTTCGATGAGCTAGGGAATCTGCCCATCGTAAAGGAGGACGGCCTTGCGGCCGTTTCTTCTCGCGGGGGGGGTACCATCGCACAGTAGCCGAACTCCATCGTCCGTCATTTCTCCTCATCAGGTGTCCGGCGAATCTGTGCTTCGCTTCATCGACGTGAAGAAGAACGTCTTTGACTTGTGACATGGGGCTGTCCCCAGAGGCCCGTTGCGCGGCAAAGGACGAGTCGCAGCGCATACTGTAGCGGTTAGGCGTCAGGTTAAATAGAGTGTACCATACTACGTCTCATATCGCACAGCACGCGCTGCAACTCGTCCTTTGCCGCATCTGCGTCTCTTGCTTCGCCGCGCGGTGGGCCTGTTGGAGGGACACTGCGTGAGTGCGGTACCGAATCTAAACGACGTTTACGGGCGCCACGTCCTTAGGCCGATGTCAGACTTTGCGAATCGCGCGATTCGCTAGCGTCCGCGGTCGCGTTGCGGTACCAGCCAATTGAGTGATTCACTGGCCGCGACGCGACCGCAGACGCTAGCGAATCGCGCGATTCGCAAAGTCTGACATCGGCCTATGGGGGGGCATCCATATATATCCATGTAAGTGAGCATTACTGTTCTTGGGACTAAACACATTAGAGAGGGAGGGGTTCCTGAGAGCAATCGCTGAGGCCGGGAGACTCGAGAGG